TTCACAAAACACCAGAAAAAACAAACAAATATATGTAAAAACCTAATAAAATATTATAATCTAATTTTAAATACCTGATCAAAAATATTATTACTTATAGCAAATGAGACAATTTGGATAACTATTTTGACATGTTTTGCCAATGAACCAATGTCATCAGGAAAGTGTTATTTTACTTCTAATTATTTATATGATAAATGTTATGATTATCCCAATTCTCAAATTCTCACTCTATCTTTATTTATTGAGTGTAGCTTAGCCTTCTAATAAGACTAATCATTATGATACAGTAAGCTCCCTGATTTTTGGTATTAATTTTGCTTAGGTCATTTTCATAAGTCAAAATTAACAAGATGAACATGGCCTTTCAATTTCTTCACCAGCACTCTTTGACAGCCAATTAAAGGAGAGAGCTTACACACACACACACACACACACACACACACACACACACACACACACATATATATATATATATATATATATATATATATATATATATATATATGAAACAACATTTTAAATAAGGATATGGTAAAACATAGCATTTATTAATAGCTCTGATTGAACAGTGTATTCACCTTCCTTCTTTACGAACTCCTGCCAACGATCTACTAACAGTTTAATGCCCCGACGATAGGGATCCTTAGTTTTTGACTCGAAACATTTATGAAGCCACATTTTAAGTTCCACGTCGTTGTTGAATGAAACCCCCTTTCAATCGATAGAAAACGACTGAAAAAAGGTGGTAAATCAGGAGAAAATGGCAGGGGTGGCGTACGTTCCCGACAAAGCTCTTTTTTTTTGCATCCACAAGTAGCACAGTGTCGAGCGAGTAAACGGACTGAAACGGAGAAGCGGTAGAGTTTGTTTCTCTCGGTCAATACGTGTGGCACCCAAACGCCGTCTTTCTGGATCTTTCCAGAGTGAAGATGACGAGCTGCAGTAACATAAGAGCTTGCTGCCCTTTAAGCCACTTACCTAATGATCAGGTGCAGTTCCTTTTTAAATGATTGATTGATTAATTTCACTTTGTGTTTGTATTCCAGTGCTTTAGCATATCTACTTTTAATATCGTCTAATATGTCCTTCTTATTAGAGTTGGTCAATAATCTAAACCGTATTGATGGGCGTAAATTGTCAAGGATCCTTTTATGCTGGTTGAATTTTCTGTCAATGTACCTGTGGTTGTATGAATCATTTGTGTATGGTTTATGCAGGCCCTTCCACGGGTCTAATATAACGTCTAGGAAGTTGATCACTTTAGCGTTATGATTGGTGGTAATATTCAGTTTATGATCCTTAACGATTTAAGTTAGGGCCTTCTCATCCGTCCCGCTTGTCTTGGTTTACGAAGGAGAATTACCCTGTCGTTTCTGTATATACCGTTGATTTTTCTGTCAGGGATAAATCTGAGTCTCCATAATAACAGTATCCTTACAAGTACCATATAAAATCTATTAGCAAATTATATTAATTTGAAATACGTATAAAACAATAAAATTAAAAATACAACTCAACCATAGCTCAATCATTTTTAAGAGACTATCAACTATAAGAAAATAATTAACACCAAATAGACTAACTAAATGAAAAAACATCATTTATTCTTTCGTTTCAATGGTTAGTATGAAGGTCACTGTTATTGTTAGTGCAATATTTTCTTAATCTTATTAACCAATCGATATTGATAATTTCTGGATATATCTAGATTTATATGAGCCATTGTTGTTGCTAAATTTATTCACCAAAGCCTGACGTAATTTTTACATTATTTTATAGATTTCTAGAGATTATATATTTATATGAAATTGTAAATATAATTCAATAAATAAACAATTATATATATTTCGTACAATATGATGAATAAACAAAGTTATAAATATTTCTAATTAGGAAAGATATATGTAGAAAAATCAATGTGTATTTATTATATTAGTTGAATACCCACTCTACAGAGAAAATTAAATTGCATCTCATGTTTTCTTTATGTTTTTATTATTATGCTAATTAATTATGCTAATAAAATTAATTCAATAATAATTTAGTTTCAGATATTGATAAAATATTTACGTAACATTGATAAATTTTATTTATTTACATGTTTTACAATTAAATGCAATCAAAATTAAATTAACATTTGATAAAATAATTCTGTAATTAATAATAATTAAAAATAATTAAGATTGCAGTAATAATAATACTCAAACCATATAATAATTATCAATATGTATTTATTCATATATTTCCTGTCGCAACTGTAGTGGGAAAGGAAGTAAATAAACTTTAGTAAACTAATGGGTGATTACATCCTTTAGTCGTTTTAATATTCTATACAAATAAAATATTTATCTGCATTTAGAGTAATTTCATTCCCGGGCAAAAATGAACTGTTTAGTTAATCAGTTTCTTTATTTCTACGTTTCTTAGATCGCTGCCTTTCTTTGTTCAAGATTTTGACGTCAGACAAGCAGATACCTTTGTTTACTGAGTGATCGTCTAGCTTCAGTTTGGCTTGAAATAGGCTTGAAATGTTGTCGCCATCTTTGTTGTTCTGTAGCTAACATTTTCCTTCCGGGTGTTTTTTTTTTCCATTTCACAACTATACGGCAAAATTAATTCCCTTTTTTTTAATCATAAACTTTATTGAACAAAAATACATCACAGTAGTTTGAGAAAATTAATAACTTTTGACGCAGCACTTGTTAGGATTAACAATATATTGAAAAAGTGTTCAAAATGTTCAGATTCATGTTCAGTACAACGCTGAACACCATTAGCAAAACATCTACAAAATATTTTACACATTTTATACATTAATTTCAGAAAAAAAATATCAGAAATTGCTCGTTTCGATTCAGATATTGTTTTCGGTTGGAATATGTAAACAAAAAAAAAGATGTTACTGCCGTCTCTCTCTATGTTAAACACATGATTTTTTTTGCTTTCATATAAATAGATAATTGAAAAAAAAAAGCGAATTATATAATACCAGTCGTATTGACTGAATCACACAAAACATTGAACATCTAAAGAATATAAAGGGGATGAATTAATTAAACGGTTCATTGGCTTCTATTTTAGCTGTGAATTCTTTTACCCTGCTTTATTGAATCCCAATACATTGTTTCAAGACTTTGCTTTCATTGAATCTCTCCATTAAAAATCTCTAAAAATAGCCGTCATTTTTGATGGCACTGGTAAAAAAGAAAAATAATAATAATAATAATAATAATAATAGTAGTAGTAGTAGTAGTAGTAGTAGTAATAATTCAGAAATATTTCTATTTTTTTTTAACTTATTTAAATAATTGGCTCCATTTTTAAGAAAACATAATTAAATCGATGATTTTATGAATTTAGGTGATTCTGTAAATTTTTAGCTCCGTCCGACTAATTTGGAGTAATGAGAATATCATAGCAGACGCTAACTATGGTATTTACGAACGTTGCATGGCATAAGATTGGAAATAAAGTTGCTTGGCCCAAAATTATATTAAAATTCAATTCCTATGATAAAGGATAATTTATAATTTAAATAAAATAAAAGATTAACAATAACTAACAAAATTAAAAAAAAGGTGCAATATAATAAATATTATCTGACTGAAAAATAATCGATATAAAAGAAGATCTTAGTAACTTTAATATATGTTTTTCAAGTCGAGATATTTCATTTTTCGCCATATTGGAAGCATCTTAAGGCTTGTTTTTTTTTTTTTTTTTTTTTTTTTGCATATAACCGGCATCTCAATCCTCGCGCTATTGTTAACAAAAAAAAGACTATAATTGTTTGACGGCTCAAACCACAAACGTGGATACTAAGTCATCAATAACGAGGAACCATTGTATATATATATATATATATATATATATATATATATATATATATATATATATATATATATATATATATATATATATATATATATATAATATAGAATATATGAATATAGATCAGTATGAAGAAAAATATACTGAAAAAACAAACAAAAATCCTAATATGCGATTATGGTGTTTTAATGTTTAATGTCAACGTCGGACGTTTCGGTCTAATAGACAATCTTCAGGACATATTCATAAAACATAATTAACATAGACCATATATAATTCAACATGAAAAAGACGATGGACATACAAGCAATACGTTGACATTAAACATTAAAACAGCATAATCGCATATTAGGAGTTTTGTTTGTTTTTTCATTATATTTTTTCATATATATATGTATATATATATATATATATATATATATATATGTGTGTGTGTGTGTGTGTGTGTGTGTGTGTATAAAGTTTGTTTCATTCCTCATTGTTCGAGCATGTTAAAAATGTCGATGATGGATGGCTTGAAAATTCTGATTTCCAAAATTTTCAAAATTTGGAAACCCAAGAAATTTCGGAAAATCTGAAAAGAAATTAAACGTCTTTTGAAAATACCATAGAATAGAGCTCATAGGATTGATCCGTAAAGCCTTACTGAAAGAAAGAAAGAAAGAAAGAAAGAAAGAAAGAAAGAAAGAATGAAAGAAAAAGAAAATTTCGAAAAGGATCAAAAAAACGAAAGGAAAGTAATATTAAAAGCGAAAAAATGCGAAGTGAAAAAAAAAAGAAAGAATAGAAAAAAAGAAAGAAAGAATGAAAAAAGAAAGAATGAAAAAAGAAAGAAAGGAAGAAAAAGAAAGAAAGAAAAAGAAAGAAAGATAAAAGAAAAAAGAAAGAAAAAAAGAAAGAAAAACTTAAGTTTCTTGCGCAAAATGTAAGACTGATAAATTAAGACACTAAACCATATTTAAACTACTAGACATGGTCAACCTATGGACCCTCCAAAATTTGCAAAAACAAAAAAAAAAAAAAAAAGATATGAAACGAATAAATGAAAAATGAGAAGAATGATGTGTTGTATCACACGATTTGTTTAAACTATATCGCGAAACGCGATTAAGACAACGAGAAATCCTACCAACATTTATTATCCATAATCATAGCAATATGAATCTATGTTTATAGTCAAATCAGAAGGAAAACTACATAAACTTCAAGAGAATATAATAAAGGAAAATGAGAAAAAGGACTAACTCTTGACAGTATATATGGTTTTAATCAAGAGAGACAAACCAAGCGGCCATATTTGAATCTGGGATATCTGTGCCTAGCAGGTTTAGTAATAAGAATTTAGCGTAGTGTAGCAACAGACGACGGAACTTGTGACACAAACATCCGAATGGATATTAGATTAGCTAGACTCTCTCGAAATTAAGCAAATTATTGGGACATAAGAAAAGGGGTGGGGATCTCTAGGTCATATATGTTCTACCGTGGGGCAGTGCATGTTAAAATTGGTATGCTAAGTGAGAGAGAGATAAGGTTCGACAGACGATGAGGATACCTGGGATTGGGTATGTGGCTAAGATGAAATGATAAATAAAATAACAAGTAGAAAGAAATAACTATTGTAAATCCAAAAGAGAAAATTCCGGGATATATTATGAAGAAAGTGGGTTTGGAGAATATAACCCTCACAGGATGTATTGAAGAAAGTAAGAAAAGAAATAAACTACAAGCTACTTAATTAATTTGAGAGAATTGATTGACAAGGAGGGATGATAAAAAAGTCAAAATTGCTTAGAAAAAAACAGGGATTATTTCATCAGCATAACAAATGCTATACTATTCCATTATGGAATCTGTCCTTCTCGAAACAAAGAATGTGTTCGTGTTCTTTTCATAGCGTCTGCTAAATCCGTGTCCATATTAAATGATCGTCAACATACCCTTTACCGAGTTGCCCGTCTTCCGCTATCAAAATGTCATCAATCCGCCAACTTTTTCCCTCTTCAATACTAGAAAATTCGCGCTATTAATATGTCGTCTGTCCAATCAGAGCCGACTACTTCCGTTTTATTCAAACCATTTTCGACAGAAGACAGATAAAAAAAAAACATTAAAAAATTAAACTATGTCGAATGATTTTCAAATCATTTTGTTTTCACAATGAATCCTTGTCTTTTTTAAACAAAAAAATCTTCTATCCCGATGTGCATTTTCTATTATTTTTACTTCTAATTTAGTTTATTTCATTCATAAGTTTCTGCTGAGAGTTTTAGGATTTTAATCGGCAAATTTAAAATAAATGAATGAAAAAAAGTTCTTTTCGAATTTGTTTTCAACGATTTAAGTTTCTTTTTTATTCAGTATATATTTTATTTTGTTGAGTCTTTTATCTTTTTTTGTTTTAATTTATTTCTTTAAGTGTTTTTGAAATTTAAATTTATTTCTGACATTTGAATATTTTCTTCATTTTTAAGCAGGCATCGTTGATTTTATTTCTTCTTTCTATTTTTTTTGTCTTTAGATTTCTTTTTTCCTCGTCTTCCTGTCTTCCTTCATTTTTCTATTTTTAGTTTTCTTAAATTTAATAATTCTTCTTTCGTTTTTCTTTCTTTATTTTTTGTTTGTTATATGTTATCGATTGTTATATACAACAAAAAATATTTTCTATTTTTCCTGGATTCTTCGTTTTCTATGACCTTCTTTATTTCATCATCACGCTTAGTTTTTATTTCCTATCACTAAGTTTTACTTCTCTCTTTCCTTTTTTTAGTCCTCTTCCAATCTTTTTTTTTTCTCGTCCATCTTGTCCTCCTCCTCCTCTTCTGTCTAATTCTTTTCTTCTCTCTCACCTATCGTCTAATTAATGGACGCAAACTTCAGCTTCAGGTAACCATGAAAAACCCGAAGATTCTTTACAAAGGAAGAAAATAAACGAAGAAAAAATAGCGAGGACAGAAGAAATAAAAATAAAATAAAAAAAACTAAGAGGATAAAAAAGATGCTTAAAAGAAGATATTTGACGCAAAGCAAAAATAAACGATAAACAATAAGAAGAACTAAGATGTTTTGGAATCTACAAAAATAACGATGAAAAAAGATACTGTGGTTTTTATGACATATTTTTTGACAAAACATTTCGTCCATTCTCAATTACGTCAAATGCAACTTAACCTAGACAAGTAAAAAAAAAGAAATTGATGAATCAACAATAAACAAACAAAAAAAAGGTATTTAAAAAAATACATTTCCAGTTCACCTTGCCTTTAAAAATAGACGAAACAAAACAAAAAGCGAGAAAAAAAACACAACCTCATTATCAAAGATGGCCGCCACGTTTGCGAAAGACGAGGAGAAAAAAATAAATGCAGCAAGTGAAGAGGCGAAAAAACAAAAACAAAAACCGTTAGTCAAAGAATATAGAAGTAGTGGAAAATTAAAAGAACTATTTCTCAGTGAGGAGGGAGTTAAAAAAAAGGTGTAGAAGATGGAAATCGGAATCAGTTGTGGAATATGCATGAGCAATTGAAGAGTGGAAATAAAGATATAGAATAAAATAGAAGGCAATAAAGTGATTTAAAAGAGGACAAAAGTTAGGAATTGATAAAGATGGATGGCGAAAGAAAGAAAGAGGGAAAAAGAAGGAAAGAAAGAAATAGAGGAAGAACGAAAATGAATGAGGCGTAGTAAATGAAAAGGAACGAAACAAATCTAAAAAAGAAATTGAAACAAATACACACAGACAGAAAATGAGTATAAGTAGAGCAATATAAAAAGAAAACAAAGAATATGAATTAAGCGTAGGAAAAAGTGATGTAAAACAGAAGAAAGAAAGCAAGAAAGAGTGGATGTAAAATAAGAAAGAAAGTGAAAAACAGGGAAAGAAAGAAAGAAAGAAAGAAAGAAAGAAAGAAAGAAAGAAAGAAAGAAAAGACAAAGGAAGAAAGAATATGAAAGAGAGTGGGTGAAAAAAAGACAAACAGAGTCTGAGGGTTCAGAAGAAAAAAAAATAAGCCGGATAAAAAAAAAAGAATAGGAAATAGAAAAACAACAGTGAAACAAAAAAGGAAGATAGAAAATGAGTGATGTGGAATAAAATAATATATATATGGATTAGACGTAGGAATAAGTAATGTAAGGCAAAAGAAAGAAAGAAAGAAAGAAACAAAGAATGAATGAAAGAAAGAAAGAAAAGACAAAGAACGAAAGAAAGAAAGAACAAAAGAAAGAAAAGTAGAAGAAAGAAATAAAGAAAGAAAGAAAGAAAGAAAGAATAAAGGAAAGAAAAAAGAAAGAAACAAAAAGAGACTGAAAGAAATAAAGGAAGAAAGAAAGGTAGAAGAGACAAAGAAAGAAAGAAAGAAAGAAAGGAGAAAGAAAAGAAAAATGAAAGAAAGACAGGAAGAAATGACAAAGAAAGAAAGAAAGGTAGAAGAGACAAAGAAAGAAAGAAAGAAAGAAAGAAAGACAGGAAGAAAGAAAGAAAGAAAGAAAGAAAGAAAGAAAGAAAGGAGAAAGAAAAGAAAAATGAAAGAAAGACAGGAAGAAATGACAAAGAAAGAAAGAAAGGTAGAAGAGACAAAGAAAGAAAGAAAGAAAGGTAGAAGAGACCACGAAAGAAAGAAAGAAAGAAAGAAAGAAAGAAAGAAAGGAGAAAGAAAAGAAAAATGAAAGAAAGAAAGAAAGACAGGAAGAAAAGACAAAGAAAGAAAGAAAGGTAGAAGAGACAAAGAAAGAAAGAAAGAAAGGTAGAAGAGACAAAGAAAGAAAGAAAGAAAGGTAGAAGAGACAAAGAAAGAAAGAAAGAAAGGTAGAAGAGACAACGAAAGAAAGAAAGAAAGAAAGAAAGAAAGAAAGAAAGAAAGAAAAGAAAAACGAAAGAAAGAAAGAAAGAAAGACAGGAAGAAAAGACAAAGAAAGAAAGAAAGGTAGAAGAGACAACGAAAGAAAGAAAGAAAGAAAGAAAGAAAGAAAGAAAGAAAGAAAGAAAGAAAGGACAATAATAAATAAAGGAAGAATCATTAATGAGGGAATGAAGTATGGATCAACAATAAAAGTAAACATATTTTTTTCTGAATGAATACTTCAGGAAAGAGAGAGAGAGAAAGAGAGAGAGAGAAAGAGAGAGAGAAAGAGAGAGAGAAAAGAGAGAGAGAAAGAGAGAGAGAGAAAGAGAGAGAGAGAGAGAGTTCATGTAAAATGGACGAATGTATTGTAGAAAAATATACAGAAAGAAATAGAAAAAGAAAAGATCAGGAAAATGAATAAACAAACAGAATTACGAGAGAAAGAATTCTAGGAATGAATAGATCAAAGAAAAATGGAACGATTAAGGAAAAATGATATGAAGGAATCCTGAATGAAAAAAGGTCCAAATTATATATCTCCGTGCAAGAGAGAAACAGGGAGAGTGAAAAATATATATTTGTGTGCGTGGGTGGATATGTATGTTGAAAAAACTGGCATTACGAAGATACGAAGTGAAAAAAAGAAAGGGGGTAAGAGGAAGAGTCTTGGTGGGGGAGAGGAAACAAGAATTATTAAAGAAAGAAAGAAAGAAAGAAAGAAAGAAAGAAAGAAAGAAAGAAAGAAAGAAAGAAGACTTAGCGAAGTATAAGAATAGACATAACAGAATGAAAATGAAGTGCTGAACATGAATAGGAATAAGAAAGAAAGAAAGAAAGAAAGAAAGAAAGAAAGAAAGAAAGAAAAGACCTTTATGAAGACAAGCAAGAAATGAAAATATGTATGGAGAAAGAAAGAAAGGAAGAAAGAAAGAAAGAAAGAAAGAACACTTAGCGAAGTATACGAATAGACATAACAGAATGAAAATGAAGTGCTGAACATGAATAGGAATAAGAAAGAAAGAAAGAAAGAAAGAAAGAGAGAAAGAAAGAAAGAAAGAAAGAAAAGACCTTTATGAAGACAAGCAAGAAATGAAAATATGTATGGAGAAAGAAAGAAAGAAAGAAAGAAAGAAAGAAAGAACACTTAGCGAAGTATACGAATAGACATAACAGAATGAAAATGAAGCGCTGAACATGAATAGGAATAAGAAAGAAAGAAAGAAAGAAAGAAAGAAAGAAAGAAAGAAAGAAAGAAAGAAGGAAGGAAGAAAGGAAAGAAAATTAAACGAAGAAAATAGTAGGAATAAGATGAAATGAAAGGAAGGAAGTAAAAGAATAGGAATAAGAAAAAAGAATGAATGAAAGAAAGAAAATTCCAGAAAGACAAAATATGAATAACAAAGAAAGAAAAAAGAAAGGGAAAATGTATGAAAAGAAAGAAAGAAAATTAAATGAAGAAAATAATAGGAATAAGAAAAAAATGAAAAGAAGGAAGGCAAAGAATAGGAATAAAAAAAAATGATGGAAAGAAAATTCTAGAAGGAGAAAATATGAATAACAAAGAAAGAAAAATAAAGAAATGAAATAAAATAGAGAAAGGGAAAAAATTATGAAAAGATCGAACGAACGAACGAAAGAAAGAAAGAAAGAAAGAAAGAAAGAAAGAAAGAAAGAAAGAAAAAAAAAGAAAGAAAATTAATTGAAGAAAATAAGAGGAATAAGAAAAAAAGAATGGAAAGAAGGAAGGCAAAGAATAGGATTAAGAAAAAAGAATGAATGAAAGAAAGAAAATTCCAGAAAGACAACATATGAATAACAAAGAAAGAAAAAAGAAAAGAAATAAAATGGATAAAGGGAATAGGTATAATAAGAAAGGTAGGCAAGAAGGAGGAAAGAAAGAAAGAAAGAAAGAAAGAAAGAAAGAAAAAGAAAGAAAGAAAGAAAGAAATACAATTATAAAATCGAACACTTGAAATTGAGAGTGACAAAAAAGAACTTAAAGAAATTGTAAAACAAGGGAAAAATGAAAGAACACGAGATGGAAGAAACCAAGAAAAACTAACACTGAATCCAATAGAAAGATCGAGAAAATATGTGTGTTCGGGAGATTAAAAAAAGAGATAAAGACATGGATCTTGAATATATTACGTCAAGAAGGAAAGAAACATAGAAAAAAATAAGAGAAAAAAAAATCCCACCAGTATAGACGAAAAAGAAAGATAGAACAAAATAAGACCTAGCAGATAATTATTACGTTAACAGACGTCTCTCGTTTTCAATAGAATTCTAAACATGGCGTCACTGGCTGGAGACTTCCGAAGAAACATAGCTGATTAGGAAGCCAGTCACATGTCAAGCGACTTCGGCAGTTGATGGCGTTGTCACAGTCGTTGATTTTCCTTTGTTTATTTGTTTCAAATTTAGTTTTTTAAACAAAATAGCGATACTTGCAAGATGGGATGTGACCATGGTCGCACTCAAAACAAATGACGTATACGCCCACATGTCTTATGACTTAAACGTTATTTTTCACAGATACCCATATTTGAATAGTCACTCTGTTTATACATCAAACAGTATATTTATCTATTAGCCTGAATATTAAATACATGTAATTAAAGTAAATATCCGATTTTTTTGCAGGGTGAAAATAAGAAATCGAATCAGTGATACACGAGTTTCAGTTCGAGATGTCGAGTTTAATATACAAATCATTTATTAATCCGACAGACTGCATGCGTTCTAGAATAACTGCAACCCTAGAAAATGAATGCCATTTATTTTATGTTTATATATATATATATATATATATATATATATATATATATATATATATATATATATATATATATATATATATATATACAATATATATCTGAAAACTAGACAAGTTAGCAAATCTGTCGTGGACCTTGTGTGTTAATGTGAGTTTGTATTAGAAACACGTGTGTAACTCCTTGTAGGATATTAAAGACTTGAATTAAGTCTAACTGAAGATAAAGATGACAAACAAGACCGATATATATATATATATATATATATATATATATATATATATATATATATATATATATATACACAAATATATGTATTAAACAAAACAATTTTACAATGGACATAGACAATAATATTTGTGTGTCTGTCTATATTTCTGAGATCAGGTATTATTTGTGTGTGTGTGTGTGTGTGTGTGTGTGTGTGTGTGTGTGTGTGTGTGTGTGTGTGTGTGTGTGTGTGTGTGTTTGTGTCTGTTATTTGGTGAATGTTCGTACGTACGGGTATGTGTGCATAATATTCATGGCGTCTCCCACAAATGGGAAGACGCGGATCTTCTAAGAAAGCTTACATTGTAGTCGCTGAAATGAAGAAATGAAAAAGAGAACGAGGCGAGAAGTCGGCCAGTATTTATAGTATAAACTACTGGTCCTGCCACTCCAGAGAGACATTTACTGTATGGGGGGCTTGCCCCATCTTAGTGATACCACTGTTGCCCCCTCTGAACTCTGATTGCACCCCATAGGAGGATTTGGTGAGACCAAGGTCCTGCACCTTCTACGGACGGATTTATTCGGACTCCGGCCTACTGAATCTTGGACAGTTTCTATGTTTTTAGAGGACATTACTGAAGGTTTTCTGCCAACTTTCAATGCTGGAGATTTTTTCTCATGTTCGTGATTATCCATGTAGCCTCAAAATTCTTGATCCATCTATAAATGTCAGTTTTGCTAGGCGTTTTATTCTTGTCATTGTTTCTGTGGAATTTCGTGATGGCATGTTTATAGGAATTTCCCTCCAATTTTCTTTTGGTATAGCTCTGATTTCTTGAGTGATTGCTGCCTTTAGGTCGGAGATGGTGTCGGTGTTGTTCCCGTGGACTCAATACTTCAGATAAACCTACAGATAAAAACTAGAGTGTTGAGGTCGGGGACTGCGGAAACCACTCAGGTTTGCGTTTATGGCTGCCGAGTCGGTTACGAACATTCTGGTCCAGCCACTCTAGAAAGTAATTTGCTGTATGAAGGGCGGCCCCACCGTGCTGGTGACCCCTCTTAACCCTCAGTGTTGCTGGGGTCTTTATATTTGTTGTACTTTCCGCGGAATTTCGTGATGGCATGTTTATAAGTATTTCCCTCCAACGTTCTCAGAATTTCCATTCAACCTTCTCAACATTCTCAGAATTTTCCTCCAAGTTTCTCAGCATTCTCAGAATTTTCCTCCAACGATCTCAGCATTCTCAAATTTTTCCTCCAACTTTATTAGCATTCTCAGAAATTCCCTCCAACTTTCTCAGCATTCTCAGAATTTTTCCTCCAACTTTCTCAACATTTTCAGAATTTTCCTCCAGGTTTCTCAGCATTCTCAGAATTTCCCTCCAACGTTCTCAAAATTCTCAGAATTCCCCCCACCCACAACGTTTTCAGTATTCTCTTTGGTTACATTTATACTGGAGCACCCTTTATTACGTAAACGTTATTTTTAGTGGATACCAATATTGGAGGAGGTGCTGCGTTTATTTATTAACCGACGTGCTTTAGACCGTCCCGGTCACGAAGTTTGACGACAAGACGACAAACCTGAATAGTGCGGTATGAAAGCAAATTTTTCCAGGACTCTAGAAATATATATATATCTGCTTAGTTTCATATCCTAAAGCAAACAAAGCAATTTCTAAAGACGTCATGCTTTTTTTTCAAATTTATTAATCAGACATATACTGCTTTTTAGTGGATAACCACACCTAAGCAGACCCCCCACATTTTTATTAAACAGTGTATTTATTTATTGTAAAACAGGCACCAAAATGTACTTACGCACACACATTTCTTTCTTAATTGGTTGGTTACTTGCTTTTGTTTAGCGGCATATCAACATCTATCATTATTTAATAGTTATTTAATATTGAAATCTAAATATCCATCACCTAATTTTATGCTTTCAACTACAGGTACCTTGTACATATTTTATGCTATGAGGTAAATGCATGTTTTTTAGATATACAGTTTGTAGATCAGAAAATTTGTTTGGTAATTTTACTATATATATATATATATATATATTAAAATATGTTTCGTTGTACGGTTGAGACATATTTTGTCTACTCATTTTCGTTAAGATCCTTACATTTCCTTTTTCATATTTCCCTTTTTGATGTCATTACTGAAATTATAGATATTTCTTTTATTTCCAAGTACTTTCGACATATACATATTATTACAAAATAAATATTGTAGTAACCATAATTGTCAGAGACAAATTGTGTTATCTGAAAGTTATTTTTTTACAAATAGAGTGAGGAACGCTACGGTAGTGCTTGACAGCTGAAACCGTGTAAAAGGGAGATAACTAAGTATGGTTTGCCGAGTTTTTTTTTTTTTTAAAAGAGAAACTATCATTGTAAATCTTCGCATTTCAACCGATCTGTGATACACATTTTAAAATATTTTTGGAATATTCATAATTAATTTTATTAAGGTTTGGTTTCAATTTTATGTTTTTATGTTTATTCGTTTCGTGAAAAAGATAGAAGTATTTTCACTATATATATATAGAGGTATTTTTTGATATATATATATATATATATATATATATGCATATGCGTCGATTGCAATTTTTTATGAAATGTATTGTTTTGTCCTTTTTTTATAAAAATTGTCTGTTGATTTTTGTTTGAGTGTTCTCTATTTCACCAAATCTGGGACCTTAACAGATGCTACCACAAAAAATATATAGCCTGATACTAACGGGTTGTACGGTATTTATTAGATACGAATGGTAATGGAGTTTTATATATTTTACTAGCCGAATGGCCTGAAGAAAATGAGGATTAATTTTAAATCATTTTCATAATTTGCAGAGAAAGCACTGTATAGATAGATAGATAGATAGATAGATAGATAGATAGAAAATGAACATTGACTTGTCTAGCATGCATGCCGTTGCACCACGACAGGCGTTCGTGTTGACTCTAAAAGGAAGAAAAATCAAAGGAAATCAACAAATAAAAGGTTTTAAAAACAAAAATTTAATGTAAATAAATTTATTCAATTCAGATGGATACAGACAAAGACAACAAAATTTAACACACACACACACACACACACACACATATATATATATATATATATATATATATATATATATATATATATATATATACTTAATTATATGGCATTACATTCGAACATATGTAAACCGCCACATCAATGCATCCAGATTTCGATGTCTATCATAGTATCTCAGAAGGCCATATATGAAGAAGACACCCAGCCAGCCAGCCAGACAGACAGACAGATAGATAGATAGATAGATACATACTGACACATTGACAGACACAGAGGCAAACAAATATATAAACAGATATATGGGTAAACATGAAGAGATTGATATATATATATATATATATATATATATATATATATATATATATATATAAGCAAATATATGGATATAAATCCGACAGTATGAAGAAAAATATATACGGAAAAAACAAACAAAAATCCTTAAATACAATTATGTTGTTTTAATGTTAATATGTCAACGTCGGACGTTTCGGTCTAATAAACGATCTTCAGGACATATTGATAATGTTATAATTTATGAATATGTCCTGAAGATGGTTTATTAGACCGAAACGTCCGACGTTGACATATTAACATTAAAACAAATATAATTGTATATAAGGATTTTTGTTTGTTTTTTCCCGTATATTTTTCTTCATATATATATATATATATATATATATATATATATATATATATATATATATATATATAAGAGAAAGTGGAACAGAGGAGATAGAGATATTTAGATATGTTACGTTATATTTAGCTAGTAATATTTCATTTAAACATTTTCAATTAAATGGACCAGAGAGAAAATTGATATTCAACATTTGAAGAGATTCTCCTTGTATGAAATTTGTCGCTTTGTTTTAAGTTGGGTATTATAAAGGAATTTTCTATAATAAAAGGGGGATTTAGAAGTAATTTCTTTGATTTGCTTCAAGGAGACATTTTATTTCAGCAAGAAGTAATACAAAATTAACTCGCGCTACAGTAAAATCAACAAAAAGACTCAACAGATAGATATCCTCTGCTCCATGTAATAGAATGCATATATATATATATATATATATATATATATATATATATATATATATATATATATATATATATATATTACAATTATAAAACCCGGATATAAGAGACTTGTCGGGACCGAGAAGTCTCTTATATCCGGGTTTCTCTTATACACGGGTTTCTCTTATATCCGGGTTTCTCTTATATCCGGGTTTGATCTATTTTATATACATTAACACAGGCTCTAATTTGGGACCAGAGAAAATCTCTCTTATATCCGGTTTTCTCTTATATCCGGGTCTCTTATATCCGGGTTACACTGTATATACGAATTTCAATTTATATTCATATATTTATAATATGAATTACAATTCATCTTTATTTGACAGATTTATAATAACTGTGATAAAATAAACAATTTCGCTTACTATGTTTTAATCCAGTATTTGTCCTTTTACTATAAACATTATTTTTGTGATGTCAACGATCACTCGTTTCATACTTTTGTGATACCAACGAATACTCGTGGTCACTTTCGTAATGCTCGTTGTAGTAGAGACTTTGTAATCGCAGATACAACTATAGTAACGCCGTTGAACAATACTGGTGTCAGACGCCTTCGAATATCACTCTCACTAATAGTACTTACTCGATAATACTCGCTCGAATAGTAACCACCGCTTAGTGAACCAAATACTAATCCGTATAGTGATCCTTATAGTAATCCATATAGTGACTATTTGTAAAGTTCAATAAATTATAATTTTTGTAAGGCTGTGTTTTGCGATGTCAACGAAACCTCATCGCCACTTTTCTAAGATCAACGAATACTCCTTGTCACTTTCGTAATGCTCGGTGTAGTAGAGACTTTGTAATCGCAGATACAACTATAGTAACGTCGTTGAACAATGCTGGAGTCAGATGCCGTCGAATAACACTCGCACTAATAGGACTTGTTTGATAATAAATAGTGTCTTATTTAAAGCATTTTGTGATATCAAAGAATACTCATTATCACTTTCGTAATGCTTGTTGTAGAGACTTTGTATTGGCAGCTACAACTATAGTAAAGCCGTCGACAATACTCGCTCGGAAAGTAACCCGTAAATAATATTTAGCTATTCCCACCCCACGGGGTTACATGTGGTACAAGGCCGGGGTTAACGTGGGATCTCCGAGCCCGTAGGCTCAGCCAAAAATATTCCCTCTTTGAACCCACATAAACGGGTTCAGGGGCAGTCAACCACCCCGAACGAGATTCTGTCCTTCGGCGCAGCCTCGTCCGGGTTCCTCGCCGCCCGAAGGTAGAGAGTTAGACTGTTAGCCAAGTTAGTCAAGTATAGAAAGTAACCCGTATATTGATCCGAATATAGAAATAGTATGGTGAATAGATTAGAGAATAGCTGTCTCTATAGTAATAGAGGATAGAATAGGGATGCGATCGATCATTTAGACGCCACGTGACTACCTATATATGTGTTTCCTCTATGGTCAAGTGATCCACTTAATTGAATAATGGGATCGACTCTGTTTGCTCACTGGCGATCTATGTTCAAACTCATGTGTCGGCAGCGACACTTTATTACTATATATCATTTATAGTATCCAAATTTGAGTAGATAACCCTGTTTTTATAACTAGAGAATTAATATCTACCTGCCTATAGATCGAAAGTTCTAGTTTTCAAAAATAGGCCTTTCAAAGGGAATTGAACCTGTATTGAATTATTTCTAGAAAATTGCCTTCAACCATTGCGTCTTAAAATATTTGCCTACTGACTTCCTAAATTCACGAGAGATGTGCATTAATTTAATATGGTAATTAAGCTTACCTTATTGAGCATGAGGCAATAGAAATGCGGTTCTACATATGGATGCTGAGAATGACTGGACATGTGACCAATGACGAATGTTTTTTTTTGTTTTTTTTTAAGTGTTTCACCCCAAGCAAGGCGGGAAGCCACTAGGATGCACGTGGTTACAGGAAATACCAAGATCAGATAGGAGTGATAGAAGAAAGGATGAGAGTAGTGGATAGATCAAGGCAACTAGAGATGTCGATTGACATTACACTTGAATAGCTGGAGATTATAGCTAACAGGGAAACAGGAGAAGGGAAGGGAGTTCCACAGGCGAAAGGTGCGAGACATGAAGCTATTAGAGTAGAAGAGACGGCTACATTATGTTTATAGGAAATTGAAGCAAAAAATGACACATTTAGTATAAGAAAAAGCCAGTTAGCATATCTAAGGTATATAATAAGGAAAGACGGATTCGAAAAATAACTCACGCGATGTATTGAAGGTGAGACTGACAGAGAAAAGGAGCGAAAGGCCTACCTAACGAGCTTGTGTAAATGATTGGTAGAACAGGGATTAGGAGACATAACAAAACTACAAACTAAAGTTAACAAAGAACGGGAAGTTGTGGAGGACCATTATTATTATTATTATTATTTTCTTCTGTGCGGTTTTTGTTTTCAACTTGTATAAAGTGCTTTGTTCTCAGATAGTTAACATCTTTCGAAGAATATTTGCAGTGCCAAGCAACGTAGACTTCTGAAGCGACGAGAATCTTTCTTTCTATGTGCCGTGTCCTTTCAGGACATTGGCGATCATGGCTCTCCACCTCTTCCTCTATTCCTTGCAGCTCTTTTCAAGTTCCTTCCCTCTGCTGCCTCACCCAGACCACGTTCTGTCATCCATTTGCTTACACTAGGATTTATTCCTATTTTTGTCCCTTATAGGACTTTAAAAAAAAAAGAAAAAAAAAAGGAAAAAAATAAAGGCAATGAAGACAAGAGGGTCAGAGGAGAGCAGCTCATAATCTACCGAACAAGCTTGTGTAAAGGATTGGCAGGACGGGGATTAGGAGAGATAGCATTAAAATAAATAAATAACAAAAATGAACAAACAAAAAATTAGAGCGACAAATAACAGGAAGTTGTGGCGAGGCATGATCGGCCACGTGCTGACGGGATAAGGCACAAAGAAGAAGAAGGAGGAGGAGGAGAAAGCGGAGAAGAAGAAGAAGAAGAAGAAGGAGGAGGAGGAGGAGGAAGTAGAGGAAGCGAAGAAGAAGAAGAAGAAGAAGAAGAAGAAGAAGAACAAGGAGGACGTGGAGGAAGAAGAAGAATTTATAGACCACCATCCCTACAATGATAATTGGCACAATAGTGGCTTGTAGGGCCCATATTCTATCAATCATTATGATATACTATAGTATTCTATAATACTAGACGACCCATGACCTGTTGGGTCACTGACCGTTCAGGTATTCTATTGAAATGAAAATTAACTTTATTATGATTCAGTTAAATATTTCAATCCGTTCGTGTCATCATTGGTCTGATTTACAAGTTCATGTTTAACATTTTACTGATTGTTTACAGAATTTAGTAGAAATAAAACTTCCGTGATAATCAGATTAACTTAAAATTATTTTTTAAATATACCAAAAAATATTTTAAAATCATATTCAAGGATTACGAGACAGAGCCAAAAAATACTGGTATGAGTTAAAACAAACAGAAAATCTTAAATAACCAAAGTCGCCTACGTCCTATATGGATTCGCGTGACAAAAAATACGCCCCGTTTGAAAGTAGCTACTTAGGGTTGTGTTTTATCCCCACATAGATTCGCCAGTTTAGCGAAGAATTAATTAGAGGACGCCATCAAGCAGCAATAAAACCAGGCACTGTCATTTCCCTCTTCGCCACTTTAGTGCCAATTCCAACGGGAGAATGTTCCCAGAAAGAGGGGGATACATTTCCCCACAGCGACTGAATATCTTATTTCTTTTGCGGGCATACAAGTGCGCTCTCTCACACTTTTTCCTCTTATTTTTAATCATTTCATTCTAAGCAAAGCAACAGATCCAGTAACACGTAATGGGTTCAGTTAGTCAATTCAGGACCATACAAGATACACGCTTGGGCAATCATGTGTCTTTCGATCCATAACTGATTAGGCAGAATATTGCACAATAGTTGACATTTTCTTCTGCGGTAGAGTATTTGCCAACTAAGGCTATAGAACCAAGTCTGTCCTGATAAACTAATTAAGGAAAAAATGGATTCATGCCTTTCACAAGACTAGGGGAATGCAACGAACACAACAGGAATTCGAACTCGCCTCTCCGATTTCTCAGTCCGAGTTGTTTTTCGTTATACCAAAACGCACATCCCGGGTGAGAAAAAAAATATCATAATTGTTGTGGTAGGGTTAGGGTTACGGGCTAGGGGATTCCCACATTAAACCGGCCTTGTTCCACATTCTATCCTCGTGGGTGGATTGATAAATACTAATTGTTGTGGTAGGATCCACTAATTTGCATAGTGGAGTACCGACCATATAAATATGGTTGGTACCGGGAAGACGAGAGAAGGAATCAAGAGATTCAATCCAGAGATTCTGCCCGACTGCGACTCAGTCAACACATTCTCCAGGAACGGTCTTACCAGGAATATACAAAAGACTATATGTAAATATTGTGTACACTTTCTTGTTTCAATACATTTTGTTCTAAGTACATTTTGTGTTGCATTATTATTCCATGCATTAGTCAAGTTTCAACAAATATAATCTATCTCTATAATATAATCTATAATATAATCTATAATATAATCTATCTTCTCTATAATATAATCTCTATCTATAATATAACCTATAATATAATAAAGCATAATCTATAATATAATCCAAAACGGAAAAATGATTAAAAGATGGACATATGCATATGAAGTATGCAAATGGATCTACAAAGAAATAGCCATAATCATCAACCCATATAGGAAGCCAATTTGAAATCCAAAAGGTATTCCAAGGCTTGGGAACACATCCAAAAGGTATTCCAAGGCTTGGGAACACATTCTCCAGGAACGGTCTTACCAGGAATATACAGAAGACTATATGTAAATATTGTGTACACTTTCTTGTTTGAATATATTTTGTTCTAAGTACATTTTGTGTTGTATTATTATTCCATGCATTAGTCAAGTTTCAACAATAATTTAAGAAGCCGGAAGATAATGACCGGCATTATATTTACATTTCTGAAGATCAAATTTAAATGGAAAGCAAAGAGTGTTACACAAGCAAGAAGTTCGAGAAAAGAAACAACTGATCCGCTATTCATTCACTGACGCTCAGCAGATAGTTTGTTAATTGCTTTTATCTTTCTGTTACATATAAAAATGTACTTTGAGTATCAGATTTTCTAAGTCATCTTTCCTCATATGTACACCAGAAATGTCAAATGTCTCTTCATTGTATTAAGACCAAGAGTCCATTTTGTTCTCATTGTCTCTAGATTTTCGTCGTTGCTCATATGTTCAGATTATGACATTCTCAGCATGCTTCTGTAGCTTCTTCATCAGTGTGGAGATTGTCCACCATACGCTCCTTATCTGTCTCTTCCTGATATTAAGCGCAAGAGTCCGTTTTGTTGCCAGCGATGAAGCCGCGGTAGTGTTCCGTTCAGCGTTTAACACATTTTAAATTATTTTCACTCGTCAGGCTTGATTTTTCTTTCTTGAAATTGAGCCCTTTTAAAGCATACGATTTTAAAACCACTATTTTACAGTTTGTTTATTTCAATATATATATATATATATATATATATATATATATATATATATTGATGCATGTTTCATTAAATAATACAGAAAAGTTTTGTCGATTTATTTTAAGTAAAATCCTTTCATATTGTCTGATAAGCTTAATAACATTATCATTAAAATTTAGAAAGAAAATCACCATACAAGTTTTTTTTAATCCTATCTAAGCTTTCGGCTTGCATGAGCCAATGTCGAAGATAACAATTACATTTCAATATGTTAAACAATACACGGACAAAACAATAATGGTAGTCTGTTTTTATTACATGAACGATTTCCAAGCAACGATAAACTCGTGTATACTAGACACGGAAGCGAAAATCGCACAGCAGATCGTGACATCACACATGTGAGTGAAAACGAGGAGTATAACTATTTACCTAACGTTTTCTTTCCTATTTTTCTATATATTTGCACACACACACACACACACACACACACACACACACATATATATATATATATATATATATATATATATTACATACAAAGAAATAATCACACATAGAATCAATCAGAAATATTAATGCGATTATTGGCGACATCCATCGCTAGTAGTATAATGTATGCATTAAAATACTGTTAATCCATAGAGTGAAGTGATCCTCGTCTATAAAATTGATGTCTGTTGTTTCCAGTTTATGTGTTCTTAAAATGCTAGTACTTACGAATAGTCTTCTGTTCATCATCAGGCATGTGTTTTTTTTTCCTTATAAAGTCAAAAACTTGAAGACGAAATAATTGTTTGTCGACCGAAATATATATATATATATATATATATATATATATATATATATATTTTTTCAGACAAAATAACAAAATGAATATATTAAACAAACTAACTAATATTAATAAAACAAAATGTTCTTAGCAAATGGAAGAATTTAGAGACCGTATTTTTCATACTGTTAACTGAAAATTACGTATGAAAATAGCGTTCTCTAAATTCTTCCAGTTTCTCAGGACATTTTGTTTTTTTATTTTTAGTTTGTTTAATAAATTCATTTCGCTTTTTGCCTAGAAAAAGTACACATTGGACGAAACGCGTCGGCTACCATTACGATTTTCCTATTGTCTTTTACATTTATAAATATTGTCTTTTTCTACAGGTTAACTCTGAGAAAT